TTTCCCCTCGATGTTAGGTCAATCATTATTGCCTGGTCAATAAACAAGGCTCGAGAGCCAATCAATGTAGCGCGTTACTCTTAAAATAGTTACAATGAATGGTGTGGGTAATAGGGGTGCTAGTAAGTGATTATTAGGGGTTTAAACAGATAACGATTGACATTTGACTTAAAGAGGTCAAGGGAGCATCCACAGAGGAGTCTGTTCCGTAATTATTTCCTAGGAAAAAAGATGGGTGTCACTTTCTTCTTACATTTGGAATAAAAATGAAATGTAGATAACTTGGCTACATGGAAGAGCCTAGAAGTAAAGGTCTGAACTGATGAAAGTGGAATGGAGCTTATCTGAACATTTGACATGAAAATATCAGTAGGCTAGCAACAAGTTCACGACATTGAGTCTGAAGTAAAGAGACTGTAGAGTGGGAATAAGCCTTCTCTTATAATACCATGTAAATGGTTTTGAACCTTGTCAGGGCTGGAAAGATTGAACAGCTTCAACTCAGATTTAACAGCAATGCAACAATTCTTTTTTTTTCTAATCTGAGTCTTTTAAAGATAAAGTATGGTCGAAGAAGTCAAGTACTTCCTGAAGTGATAGCATCCTCAGCATCGGAGGCTGTATGTAAGTTCCACGAGATCTGAAGTGAAAATGAGACCAACTAGAGCCCGAAAAGCTTGGCGTGAAATTGCGCATCTTGATTGGAGATCGACCAGCTTTTTAAGATTTAATGCTTATAATTATGGGACAAGTCATTATCACTTCAAATGTTTTTCGGATTAGTGAATACATTCTTTGTTGTTATTATTTCTGTAACGTTTCCCGTCCTGGGTATGACGATAAACTACATCCGGTCCTGGATAAGACGATAAACTACGTCCAACAGCAAGGCCTCTGATCAGGAGGTCTTAAGGAGCGTGGAACCACCTCTGAATTAATGGTGTTCCCAGGTCCACCCTGACCCGGAGTGGTAGTACCTGTCAGGGTCCCAGCTATGGGCAAATAGTTAACGCCCAAACTGGGATCAAAACACTATGAAAGTGTAAAAGTAGGTTTTAATACTAGAAATACTTTGTAAAAAAAGTTATTACCAGCAATAAGGTTTTGAAGAAAAAAATTATTACCAACTATACTTTTTTGACAAAAAAATTACAAGCGATACATTTTTGAAGAAAAAATATTACCAGAAATAAATTTTGAAGGAAAAAAATTACCAACAATACATATGAAAAAAAATATCAGCAATAAAAATCTTGTCGATATTAAATAACCCATTGAGGTTGATATGCCGTAAAACAAACCAAACCAATTCTGTAACGTTTCGACCTATTCGTTCTACACACTTCTTCAGGGATACATATGTAAGAGAGAATGAGAGGAGGAGAGATGGAAAGAAAGAGTGTGTGAGAGAGAGAGAGAGAGAGAGAGAGAGAGAAAAAGAGAGAGTGAGAGAGATTGGTTTATGCTAAAATAAATAAAAAAACACTTTCCTACTGTATTGTACACTTGAACATAGAGGAAGTGTGAATAGTCGAAAAGGCATTGGTAGCAGCATAAGCAACTAAAAGTGTGTGACACTTCTAATCGGTATCCATTTGGGCACCCCGAGGCAGTGTAATGGTTAACAAGATTGTCTTACAACTGAGTAGTGAGTTCGATCCTCACTGGGTACCCCATACTTTCGGCCATGTGCCACATCTAAGCTACGCTTGGAAAATTACTAATTGGTATCCACTTGAGCGAAAAGGAACAAAGGAATCAATAAATAAGCGAGAGCTCTTAAGGTCAAGTGACAACAAAAATGGACACTGACGATTTCCGGTTTCTGGCCTATTTTAATAGCCACAATTGGGATTGAAGTATTTCGTTCTGGTCCACCCTTGCCTGGGGACAGACTTTCTCACCGGTAGTTCGTGTTGCCAGCCACACGGGCTGATGTTGAGATGAGTAGAGAATTGATAGGTGAAAGAGTCGAAATTAAGACCAGCGTTTCTCAACTGGGGTTCCTCGAAAACCTAAGGTTCCGCAAAATGTTCCCAAGGGTTCCACGAGAACAGGTGAGATAAGCTATATGAATGAACTTTAATTAGCATTACCGAAAAATTTGACAAAGAAGTATTAATTTTTCCTTAAACCAGTTATTCAAAAATATTTACTATGATATTTACCACGTGAACTACGATGAAAATAAAATGAGAAAGATATGGTATATAATTTTGTTTTTGCGCAAGGGTTCCTTGAGACATATAATTTATTTTAGGGGTTAAGCAAGGGTAATAAGGTTGAGAAACGCTGTGCTAGAACGATGTGACAGGAGTTGGCTCAAGTGTCAACTATCTACACACCAAGACCCAGCAAAAACTAAGGATATTAGAAACAAGGTTTGAGTTTTCCTTTCACGTCGCGACGTTTATTTTCATCTTTATTTTCCTTGTGAGCGTGCAACGGACCCTTCCCGGTTTTTGGTGCACATCAACAAGAACGAGAATGGTTCGGCCGGTCGGTGGAAAGCTGCGTAAGGACTCTGTTGTATGTTTACAAATGAATGAATTCAGTTGTTCGAACAACTCATGGGATGCTTAAAAGTTTATTTTAAAACTCGACTAATGTACGAGTAAATGAGCCGTTTGTGAAAAAGCTCTATACCGAAAACCCACAACAGAAAAAAATGATTGGTTATAAAAAAAGAAATAGACAGGTATAAGAAACATACAGAATTGTACCTACAAATTGATGAATGCGCACAAAAATATATTTTTAATCATTCTGCGCAGTCTATTCAATTCAGTTCAATGCAATTCTATTTCGTTTTTTCGTCTGTTTCGTTCTAATGTACAGTTAAGGGTGGGAAAATATTCGCCTTAAAAGCCTCCAAACAAGTGAGACACCCAAAGATATTTGCGCTGTCGGTTCAGAAAAAGTTGTTATTTTATGAAAAAACTGGTGATAATTACAAATTTTTAACAAAATACATAGAAACTTACTTATTTGTAGACAGCATATCTATTTATCTATCTCCCTCATCCTCTTTTCACTATATATATATATATATATATATATATATATATATATATATATATATATATATATATATATATATATATATATATATATATATATATATATATATAATAATTAAAGGGAAGGTATCCCATGTATTGAATTTACACTTGGTCTTTTTCTAAATTGCAAAAGGTTCTCGCAAACTTGGCAATTGCAGATAAAAAGCAAATTAAGACTGCGTCCAAGTTTTCAACATGCATGAATTATCTTTAGGGGAGTGAAAAAAGTTTTCTTTTACCAGACTGGGTTTCAAACTAAATATAACGACACTTTCAAAACAATGCATTACTTAAAACACGAAGTACATTAGTTTCGTTTGGCTTGGTTTGTTTTTCAGCATATCAAACTCAATTGGTTATTTAATGCCGGCAAGATCTTTACTGCTGATAATATTTATTTTCTTCAAACATGTATTGCTAGTAATAATGTACTGCTGGTAATAATTTTTCCTTTAAAAAATATTGCTGATATTAAAACCTATTTTTACACTTTCATAGTGTTTTAATCCCAGTTTAGGGGTTAACTATTTGCCCAAAGTTGGGACCCTAACAGGCGCTACCACTCCGAGTCTGGGTGGATCTGGGAACACCGGCAATTAAGAGGTGGTTCCACGCTCCTTAATGCCTCCTGGTCAGAGGCCATGCTTTTGGACGTAGTTTATCTTGTTACCAAGGACGCGGATATAGTTTATCATCATACCCAGGACGCGGATGTAGTTTATCGTCTTACCCAGGACGCGGATGTAGTTTATCGTCTTACCCAGGATGGGTTGTAGGAGAAGAGAACCTAATGCTAGTATGTTTTATTAGTATATACTAAACTTGGCGCATTTTGGCACATCTTTACAAGTATCGGTCACCCATAGTCCAGCTTAATTTACCATTACACCACGATGAGACGACCTAGATATTATGAACTAAAATCATTTGTTTTTTGCACAAGACCCCAAATATGGATGCACCTAGTAAGAATCGAACTCACTACTGCTTGCTAAGCTTTACACAATTACTAAGTGACTATGCTTTAATACGTTTTTGTACTCCGAAATATATTCATTTAAAGAGTTAAGTTTCAGATTGAACATTGGAAACATAGTCATTACGATCGTAGATATAAAATCAATGATTTACAATGATTTATAATAATCTGACCAGGTACCTGTCCGTCCTGGGTATGACGAAAAACTACATCCTCGCCCTGGGTAAGACAATAAACTATATCCAACAGCAAGGCTTCTGATCGGGAAGCCTTAATGAGCGTGGAACGACGTCTTAATTGTTGGTATTCTCAGGTCCACCCTGACTCGGGGCGGTAGCACCTGTTAGGGTCCCAGGTATGGGCAAATAGTTAATCCCAAACTGGCGTCAAAACAATAAGAAAGTGTAAAAATAGGTTTTAAAACCAGTAGTACGTTTTTGTAAAAAAAAATTACTAGCAATAAAGGTTTTAAGGAAAAATTATTACCATATTATTTATATTGAAAAAAATATTTACAGCAATACATTTTTGAAAAAAAAAAAAAAAACAAAAAACAAACCAAACCAAACCAAACCAAACCAGATACATGCTGGAGATAATCGTGCCTTTCCTACAACATCAGAAATTACAGAATTAATGCCACCAGTATTGATATAAGTAATGACGTTGATGACGCCCTATGTCGCCAGAATTTATGCAAGTTTAATTGACTCATTTTCTACGGCTTATCAACATTTTACACGTTATTTAAAGCCAGAAAATATTTTTAGATGGTAAGAATATTTTGGGGAGATAATAACGGTTTAGTGATACACGTTTTACTAATTAACCCACAGCTGGGGGGAGAAGATGTGAATTCGTATCTTTCCCACGGGTGTAAGTATCAAGCACAATGGAAATTGGAACTCCGATTAACAATTCCGAGCCATTATTCATTACACTACCCGAACATCCAATCGTACAGTACCTGATATTCCCAAGTGGTCACCCATCTAGGTACTGACCAGGCTCGACATTGCTTAACTTCGGCAATCGTACGGGAAGGGTGTTTCAACGATGTGGCAGTAAGCCAATTTATAGAAGAAATGATGCTTACGACGTCAGAATTTATATAAATAAATAGTTTTCTCGTTTCTCAATAGCAGTTACACATGGTTTCACGTTAGATCATTGTAACCGCCCAGCTTCCTAATGAATACGAATATAGGAGTTAAAATTTTCATATAGACACCACATCGGTTCTTGATAATAACTGTAAAGTTGAAAGGACTTGAAAAAAAATGACCTTCAGACAGTTTATCCACAACTTTGAACATAATTCCCAATATCTTATCCGAAAATTGGAAAAGTATAATAAAAAAATTAAACAAACAGGCCCTGCCAGTGCTATTTCATCAAACTTCTTTGGATGAATACTTTCTGCCTAAATATAGCTTATATATGGCATCTCAGTCCTACCTTTTCACTGTCGAAACGGTTAAATATAACCGTCTTCTACTCAGCATTTTATCTCGCACTTCCCATCTGTGGAACTTCTTTCCTCTTACTTACTTCCCTGACGTTTATAGTCTTCAAATATTCAAATGTAATGTCAACCGACATCTGATGCCTTGATCTATTCCCCGTCCTTCTCTGTATCATTTCGTCAATGACGTCTCTTTAATCATCCACCCACTCTCTCTAACCCCTTGCGTGCTAATGGCACTTCCGCCTTGCTTGGGGTGAAATGCTTAAAAAAAAAAAATCTACCGGCCTGAATATTCGGGGAATCTTGTTAAAAAAAAAAACTATTAAAACTTTATCCTTCGGCAGGATACGAACCTACGTCCCCTGGGGGAAAGCTTCATTAGATCTGACTTGCCTTAGAACAAATAGGTTTGAAAATAAAGAAAAAAAAACAAACAATGTGAATTAATACGAGCGTAATTTAAAAAAAAAAATGGCACAGTGGATAAAGGCGTTGGTTAGATCCGAGTGACAGAACCCAAAGAGTGTGAGTTTAATACCCGGTTAAAGCAGTGGATATCTTGGAGAGGGGAATTAACAGCAGATAACTGACATCCATTAAACATGGCACGTGGAACAGTGAGCGAAATAAAGGGTTCAGTTCGAAATTCCAACCACCTGAAGAAGGCCGGAGCGTACAACGGCCGAAACGTTGTAATAAATATGGCGACAAAGATGAGGACAATAGTCCGAATAATGTAAATAGCGTACATAATACCTCATCTCAGAAATATAGACAAATACTGAAAAAATATAAGCTTTTAAAAAATATCTTAATTTTTTTCAAGAATCTCACTTAAAAAGAAACAATTTTTCAATGAAGCATATTTATGTATGAGCATCATTTTTTTTTTAAATTTTAATGAAAACGCATCGTGAATGACTAAAATGTGACTATTGGCATAAAAGAAATACTAGTAGACAACACCAAAATACTCTATACCACCAGTTGCAAGGAAAGACATAAAACTCTAGAAGCTAATATTATATAAAATAAACAGTCCACATTACGTAAGATATCCTTTACTACAGGAAATGGTATCTTAAAGTGTATATAATGGATGTGCGCAGATATTATATTAGTATTAAAATTAACAAATAAATTAATTAATAGATAAAATAAAATCAAATAAATCGTATTCTTTTGTATTGGATCGTATCCAATTGCAGTTACACATGACGTCATGTTAAACAATTTTAAACTTCAAGCGTCCTAATGAATAGGAAGATGCTTAAATTTTCACAAACACCACATCGGTTTTTGATAATGATTAGAACGTTGAAAGTACTTGAAAAAAAATGACCTTTAGGCAGTTTATCCACAACTTTGAACATAATTCCCATAATATCTTATCCGAAAATTGGAAAAGTATAATAAAAAAATTAAACAAACAGACCCTATCAGTTCTATTTAATCAAACTTCTTTGGATGAATACTTTCTGCCTAAATATACCTGATATATAGGTAGTTATTATGTTGTAGGGTACTGCATATACTGAGCAATTCTTTATCTAATATCTCTGGGTCGCCACTTATGACTTTTGCTCGGTGTTGTAAGCAGCGGACGATCCCTTTCTTTACGGAGTTGAAATTGAAACATTAGATAAAGAATTGGTCAGTATAAGCAGTACCCTACAACGTAACAACTACTCTGCGTACATGGCAGAAGCCCCAATAAATTGGAATAGGCGGGTACAAGAGGAGAACAACAAAACTCAGAAAACATTTTGCCTGCATTATGTGAATGGGGTTATCGGAGAAAATAGAAAGGGTCTACGGTTCATATGACATCAGGACAACCTTCAAAAGTTGGATGATACTTCGCAGATACCTCTCCTGAGTAAGATAGAGGAGAACATAACTAAAGACTGCGTGTACGCCAACCCGTGCAGCTGCGGAAAGAAATATAAAGGGGAGACAGGCCGCCCCCTTAAGATAAGGCTTCAAGAATGCCAAAAAGCTGTAACACGAGGAAAAGTGGAAAAATCAGGCGTAAGTTGATTACATATGGAGACAAAAGTGAAATCACCGCCTCTGTGGAATCAGGTTGAAATCATAGACAAAGAACATCATTGGAAAATTCGTAAACTAAAGCAATCAGCACACATGTTAGTCCACAAAAATCTCCTGAGGCGACCAAGTATAGAAATGAATACAATATGGGAACCAGCAATAAGGAGTGGTAGAGAAAAAACAAAAATAAATAAATAAATAAATAAAAACGAAAAGTTCAATATGAGTTCTGGTAAAAAATATGCAATGACAACAGCAAAACTTGCAATATAAGCACTGATAAAAGTAGTTGGCTGAAGACATTAGGTTTATAATACCCAGAATTTCATACACAGATGTCCTCAAGGACACATGGCACAGAGGATAAAGGCGTTAGTTAGATCCAGTGTGAGTTCAATACCTGGTTAAGGGGGCGGAGAACTTGGAGAGAGGAATTAACAGGAGATAACTGATAACTGACATGGCATGTGGAACCCAGTCTACCCTAGCGAGGAAAATAAAGGGTTCAGTTCGGCATTCTAACCACCTAAAGAAAGCCGGAGCGTACAACGGCCGAAACGTTGTGATAAATATGGCAACAAAGATAAGGATGATAGTCCGAACAATGTAAGTAGAGTACATAATACCTCATCTTGGAAATATAGACAGATACCATTCAACTAAATATGTTAGCTTTATCACTGATATTGAGCGCTTTCCAATAAACATCGCATAGAATTTACATAGAACTCGATATATATATATATATATATATATATATATATATATATATATATATATATTATATATATTTATATATATATATATATATATATTTACATATATATCGAGTTATATATATATATATATATATATATCGAGTTTTCTCAGTCACTGGCGTGTTTATCTGAAAATAGATACGCTTAAATTCAGTCATCCTTGCGCCAACGGTAGATTCACCGACTGACGTCAATTCACCCGAGTTTCGATCCTAGCTAGAGGCACACATGAGCTAAACAGTCTGTCTTTGGATGATAGTATATCTATCTATCTATATATCTATCTATCTCTCTCTCTCTATATATATATAAACTAGCTATGTTGTCTTCTTTGACACAAATTGTTTTGCTGTGTCTTTATTTTAGAACAACTAAATGCTTTTTGGGGATGGTGGTGCAATAATACAATTAGAATGACCCAGTCCGCCTGTAAAATCAGCATTCAAAATCATGGATATTGATGCGAAATATAAAAGTCCTTAGAAAAAAAGTAATAGAAAGGACGAACCACCAATTGTAAAATGACAAAATATATGGTCGTCAGCAAAAGTCATGGCCTAAATAACAGGAAATTCAAAAGCCGAAGACGCATGGGAACAGTTTCTTGCAGAAACAAAGTATTAAGGAATAGGTAAACATCGTTAGAAACAAGGAAAAGAACACAGATATTATGTCATATCTAATCTCCTGACTGTTAGACAATTTCCTCACAGATGAAAAAGACACTTGAAGCAAGAGAGATATGGTTCTACTGACTAAATCTAAGAATACCCTGGACAGAACATGCGAGCAACGAAGATATCTTAAAGAAATTAAGAACAAGGAAACTTATACTTGCAATCAGAAAGAGACTGAGAATTTCTGGAACACATAATGAAGAGCTATAGCCGAGATAATTTAAGTCACAAGACATACTGAAAGAAAAGAGAAAAAGGTAAGGATGGCCTGTTAATTTTAACGTCTCCAAAAATAAACAGCTCTCTATTAATCATCTGAGAGAAAGACTATGTTGAATCTATTACTTATTCAGCTGCTAAGAAATTTGGCTCAGTCTGCCGTGCCAGACAATCTTTCTCTTCTGAATCTATCTTACATATCTATAAGTCTACCATTCGTCCATGCTTAGACTATTGCTGCCACATATGGTTATATATCTAGAGATCCTTCATAAAATCTAAATCCTAATATGGCGTCTCGGCTTCAGTTACTTTCCCACCGCCTTAAAGTTGTTGCTTTATTCCCCTCCCCTGACAGACAATGAATTGTACATATGGGAACTAGTTAGGATTTTCATAGAGACAATGAGGTATTATGGTGGATGTAGTGAGAAAGGCAAGTAAGAATGCGTTGTTTTGGTATAGGGAATATTGTTATATGTTTGGATCAGGGTTTGTGGCTAGCTAAGTTTAACGTTAAGACAGAAGACTGTCCTTTTCCCCATCTCTCATTTTGGCCTTGTATCGTACATAGGAGAATAAATATCGTTCTTCGTCAGGGTACCTAGACTTTATGAATTTAAGGACAGTACTAGATTGGTAAAGAGGCCTCATCAATTTAGAGTTGAGTTAGCTAGATGTAGCCGTAAGTTCTATGCTAACAGTTTCTTTTATCGCACTTCTCGATTGTGGAACTCTTTACGGGTCCCTGTTTTTTTAGTCAACTTTAATCTTCAAAAATTTAAATGCAATGTCAATCATTATCTGTTTTCTTCATGATTAATTTTCTTTAGTTATTGTTCATTAGTAAAGTTTCTGTTATCTAATTTGTCCACACCCAGTA